CAAAAACCAAACACGCATACAAGTTGTCACAGACTGACTGAGGGACATTTCTCTAAAACTACAGACTACAGCTGGAAGTCATATGCGCCAATTATTCATCCAAATGATGCCCAAAAATTCGATATGAATTATGATTTGTATGAAGCACCGCTCAACATACAACAGGCTACGGGTTTGAACATTTTCACATTATATAAATGTCCGCAAATTATTCATTTTATGGTAAAAATAGATTTGTAAACATTTGAACATGTAACAAATAATTTAATTGGGTACTTACCATTTGGTGTAGAGCCTCTGCCTTCCCTCCATGGGCTATGTACACACACTGAAGGGTCACAGTCCGTTTTCAAGAGGGTGATTGATGAAGATAAAGCCACCTAAAAGGTGGCACGGGCATGAATAGCCCGTAAGTGGTGGCCCTTTTGAGCCATTACCAGTATCAATAGATGATACTAGAGATCTGTGGAGTTGCGACTGCACCCTGCGTGACGGGAGATGTCTCCCGTGTTTAAGAGGGATATCCTGGATTGTTGTGTATCTCACTTCCTAGTTATGCAGTGACTGAATATTGGCATATGGTAACATGTTCAAATGAACCAATACTAGTCTGGGCAGTTTCACCACACCAATCAAAACTGCTCGTCCTACATACTTGACTATTTCACCAATATTCTCAGTGTTAACTATGGTACGGGCAGTTTGTTAACTATGGAACATGGTTTTGTATGGTACATGCAGTTTTGTTACCTATGGAACGTGGTTTTGTTACCTATGGTACGTGCAGGTTGCGTGAAGGCTTTCTCCTCCAGATGGCTGTACCACCATCATCATTTACATCATCAAATGTACCATATTTTTTTTTTAAATAGATGATTGTTAACTTATGTTGAACATATAAGTGAATTTCAACAGCACCTTCTCTGGAATGAACTGTAAATAAATCCCAGTGCTGTTGTTGGGAAAAGAACAATCATTCGAGGTGGACTAAATGCAGGTAGTCAAGACTTAAGTGTTATCAACAACTTACCCTCCAGTGTGGAGTCGAGGTGGACCCTGCCGAGCTTATACTTGATGTGGCGTCAACCTCTCAAGGTCTCTGCTGCTTAATTCGTTCACATTACCAACTAATATACCAAGTATAAATTAGCCTGAAGAGTCTCTACTAGAACTTTGACCCAAATATCACAGTAACAAGATTAACCGAGCTCAGTTACGAATAAGTTTGCGAATAATTGAACTCAGTTACGGGCTCACTATAGCCCGTGCTATATGGACACTTCGTTCTGAGTAGCTAAATCTAAAAAAACATAATTATCTTTACTAGACATACACACTAGTAAGTATTCTTGTTCTCTGTAAACAATGACGAAGTCTCACCTGGTCACAAGTTTGGGAAGGTACCAACGTCGCTAAATGTTCCATTCACTCGTTAAATCATAATATTTCGGTGACATTATTTTTTCCACTCCTTTATGACCTTGTATACAATATCACTAACAGTTCCAGCACAGACTGTTACAATAGTCGAGATAATCACGATAAATCACAGCCAGCAAATCTGAGACGCAGGTTGTTTGGGTATTAAGACGATAGTTCTGAGGGCGAGTGTCCGGCTGTCCTATTGCTTCGACCACGTGGCCCCCCGGTACTTGGATCACTGTTAAAATGACAGCGAGCGAGTATAAGAAATATTGCTGGAACAACCGTGGACATCTTCAAGAGGAAACTAGATTGTTTCCTGCAAGGAGTACCGGACCAACCGGGCTGTGGTGGGTATGTGGGCCTGCGGGCCGCTCCAAGCAACAGCCTAGTGGACCAAACTCTCACAAGTCAAGCCTGGCCTCGGGCTGGGCTTGGGCAGTAGAACAACTCCCAGAACCCCATCAACCAGGTATCAATTATGGTGAAGGAAGCAATTTTAGAAATGTATAGCATCAGGTGACAGCAATCATCAGACTTTTGATAAAAGTAGTCGATGACATGAAAGTTATGGGAATGAGTGTTAAAATACATTTAAATTTTGAAATCTGCACAAGTGCAGGCCAGGTGTTGGTAATTTCATGTAATTGTATAATGCCATATGCACCCTTTTTTGTGTTGAACGTGTTCAAGTGCTAGTATGTGTGCATGCAATATTTGAATTTTGTTTATTACTACCTACTTGATTATATTACCCGTCATCGCGTGTCAAAGTCGAGAAGTGAATTGAAAGAGATGGCGGCCATGTTGAATATTTCAAGAAAAATTCAGTGAATTACTGTATACTTCTGCTCAAACCTCCTACTGAAGATGTGAGCTTTTGGTGTCTTTTAAGAATTAAAAATGGATACCTCCTGTAACAACCTGTCCAATCCATTTGTTATATTAGATAAATATCTTATTAAATTTACAAAGGGGAAAGGTATTTTTAATGCAATATTTAAAAATACCTTGTTGCGTACAGCATTAACTGATAATTTTATTTAAAAATCATTAAAATCGGCCATGGATCAGCGTATTACTATGAATCTTGTATACTTTAGAGCAATTTTTGTTTAATTGTCAGGGGAAAGTGCAAAGCCATTACGACGACTATATAGCACTTGGAAGGGGGTCAGGATAAGGATTTGGGATGGGACGGGGTAAAGGAATGGTGCCCCAACCACTTGAACTGGTGGGGGTTGAACGCCGACCTGCATGAAGCGAGACCGTCGCTCTACCGTTAAAAGTGGCTGGGTGTGTAGAACAAAGTGAACGTTTTAGGAAGAAAATTGAAATTAAGATACCTTGAAAAGTCCATCTTTCTTCGCCGTTCAATAAAACACCAAACTGGACATTAATTGTCCCAAATGAAACTAATGTGCAATTGACAGAAGTATAATATAAGTAAGGTTCAAGAAACCTTAAAAAATAAAAATCTCAAAGGCATCCAATATCTTTAGTTAGTTAATCAATGTATTTAAACCGAAAATCTTGTATAAATTGTTGTATTCAACACGTGCAAAATTGTTTTATATGCTGGAATAATTAAGAATTCCAAGTTTATGCTGTGTATATGTAAAAAGTGTGTCCATGACTATACAATATAGCAAAAGATGGGCTCTTAATTTATATTAAATGTCTAGCTAATTGTATAAAAGGAGGATTTAAACTTTTTACCAAGACGATCATCGAATGGTAATGTGCTGTAAATAGTTACCAAATCATTATTTTTTTAATCAATATTGGCAAAGCCTGTGTGTGAGGTTATGTCAGATGCATGCTTATCAGTCGGCATTTACAGCATCACCGCCCTGTGGCCAGTTACAGCCTTAGTTGTTGTGTGGTCAGGTTAGCTTCCACTTCTAGTCACTGCAAAGAAAACTGTAGTAATTATATTTTTGTAAAGTGGATGGAGACTTTTATTTGTGATTAATAGGATTTTGTCTTGGGTATGTTAAAAGTACACGTAACTTGTATGTTGTGGGTACTAGACTAAGATAGTGTTCCAGCCAGAGTAAGGGTTACCTTGAGGTGCTTCCGGGGCTTAGCGTCCCCGCGGCCCGGTCGTCGACCAGGCCTCCTGGTTGCCGGACTGATCAACCAGGCTGTTGGACGCGGCTGCTCGCAGCCTGGTTGATCAGGTATCCTTTGGGGGTTAATGTATACATGCCTCCAAAAACTTGGGTTTGGAGGTTATGATGTAACTTACATCATGTCCGGAGCCCTATGCACAGGACTACTAATAACTGTATAGAAAATGTCAATAAATAATATTTAAAACCTATTAATTATTAACCTTTATTAAAAATAAGACTATCAGACTGACATTAAAATAACCCTCTATTTTGTTGACCAGACCACACACTAGAAGGTGAAGGGATGATGTTTCGGTCCCTCCTGGACCATTCTCAAGTTGATTGTGATGACCCTCTATTTGCTCTTCAAAAAAACCCTTTAGCAGTCATTATACTGTACATTTAATGTTATTAAATCTAGATTCAGTAAGGCAGTCCCAAAGCAACAACCTGACCGCAGTTGAGCTCGGGGGAGTAGAACTCTAGAAACAATCTCCAGAATTCAGCACGATTCAAAGTTTCCCAAAATGACTATAAAAATTCCCACTTTTCTGTATAGAATTTTTTCTTTTTCAGAAAAACTTTTGTTTTTAGTAGACAGGTAGAAAATTCACAGGCCAGTTGATATTCCATATTCATTATGCCTAAGGCAACAGTATTTTTCACTGGGTTTATCCCACTATTTAACAAATGGAATGCATTTAGTGATGTAGTGGAGGCAGACTCCATACATTTTCAAATGTAGATATGATAAGAGCCCAGTAGGCTCAGGAATCTGTACACTGGCTGATTGAGAGGCAGGACCAAAGAGCCAAAGCTCAACTGGGTGAGTACTATATATTTGGTACCTGGCCTTCAAGAAACTTTCATGTACTGTACATTTTGATTTCTTCCCAGAGTACCATTCTTTACCTTTCTCTCCTGCTTTGAAAAGGGAAAATACTGAGCAGTGCTCAATATTTGAAAAGTAGGAATATGGTGAAATCTCTTCCTTTTCAGAATCCACATGTAATTTTCCTGGCATGTGGTTTGTTCATATTTCTGAAACTTAATTTTTCTTATGCTATCGTGAACATCAAAAGTATCCGATTCACCAAGAATTCTATCGAGGGACAAATTTCAAATAATCCCCAACCTTTTCTGCCAGCAATAAATAACACTAAAGCATATAGCCTCTAAGGGGGGCTGAATCCAGACATTCAAGTTATGCACCCATAAATTAGCAGAAACCCCGTAGAAAACACAGGTTGTTGCCTAGCCAGAAACATTTAAAATTAAGCAATCCATCTAACCTAGAGCCCAATGCTTAATAAATGTCAGCATTTTGGAACCTTAACTACCAAAATCCCCTCAATTTTGACAAGAAATGGGATGTATCGGGCAAGAGTCCAGGCTGATGAAACGGCAACAGTTACAAAGTGAAAACCAATGACACCTAAGGTATAAATTTAAACACACAAGTCAGTATCTCATTTATTTAGAATGTCAATCTATGGGGATACATTCTATTCCTGAGAGTGAAAGGAGTGCCCAGATAACCGAAGAGCATTTTCCTATCTTGCCTCTTCTTTATTACAGACAAAATCATCCCATCAACCACAGCCTGGTCCTTTTTGCGATCCTTGGATGGAACATATTTCTGAAAATTTGAAGGCAGTTGTAAAATACAGTAATATATATATGTCGTACCTAGTAGCCAAAACGCACTTCTCGGCCTACTGGCAAGGCCCGATTTGCCTAATAAGCCAAGTTTTCCTGAAATCATATATTTTTCAAATTTTTTTCTAATGAAATGATAAAGCTATCCATTTCACTATGTATGAGTTTATTTTTTATAATTTTTTTTGGAGTCAAAACTAACGTAGACATATGACTGAACCTAACCTACCCTAAACTAACATAACTAAGTCAATTATTTAAGTTCTTAATATAATATAATAATTAAAAAAAAAAAAAAAAAAAAATCACTTGGCCTAATAGGCAAATCGGGCCTTGCATAACAGGCCAAGAAATGCATTTGGCTACTAGGTACAATCATCAATCATATATATATATATATATATATATATATATATATATATATATATATATATATATATATATATATATATATGACTGCCAGACCACAGAGGAAGAATTGAAACAGGAATTTCCTTAAGTACTTTCGTATTTAATAATAGATCTTCAGAAGGGTAAAATACGAATAAATACTTACTAAATATGAAAGTACTTAAGGAAATTCCTGTTTTAATTCTTCCTCCGTGGTCTGATACGGTCACATTTTTCATCACGTGTTAACTTTCGTGATTCACACACACACACACACACACACTGTATATGCATGCCTCGTCCAGCAGTCGAGGCATATAGATTTTATAAAATGGGTGTCAGAAGTGATTACAAGATTAAATTTAGGGCTGTTGGACACAATGAGCATATGCATGGTGAAGAAAAAGAGTCCATCAACTCTACTACTATAGTGTGCCTCGGTGAGCCCCACATGTACAGTAAGTGACCCTTCATGCCTGGATTACCTGTGCAACCCAAGCCTCATCAGACTGGTTCTGTGATCCTCCATCTACACCATTAACTCCACCTGCCGTCTGTGCATACCAAGAATCACAGTGATCCATGACAATGTGATTGACATGGATATTTCCCACAGCAGACAAAGGCACACATGTCAACATTACTGCCCTAAAGTGCAAATGCACAGGCACTTTCCAGCAGGTACTCTTTGACAAAATTGTATGCACTAATGTTGATAATTTCCCAATTTTTATGAAATTATGAAAATTCTGAGATTCATTGCACGTAACAAGCCTAATAATTTATTACCCCTGAAACAGATTGATAGAGCAATTCCTGTTAAAAATTACTGAAATAGACATGGTGTTTAATGGTCTATCCCTGTCACTAAGGGCACTTGTTTCAACCAGGAAAAATACTAGTGTCCAAGATGTACTCAAAAGACCTGGTTGATTTTTATGAAATTATATGATTTTTATGAAATTAGAAAAAACCTAATAATGAAAACATGTTTAGAGATAGTATTCTCAATTCAATTTTTACATTCTGCCCACAATTCTAATCCAAACAGCCAAGAGAATGTGGAAAATCAGATGTTTTCTATCGCAAACAACACTTAGATCTGTGTTTGGTGCCTTTTGAGAAAGCATGCTTTCATATCTATTTATTCTTTTAGTATGGAAAATTATAAATATATTAATCATACCTCTTGCTTCTTCTCAAAAATATCACCTTCTTCCTTCTTGGCTCGCTTTGCCTTTACCCGGCGGAAGTACTGGTCATTAAGATGCTTGGGAATACCAAAACCGCTAATGTCAACCTTGGTGGCAGTAGCAATTAGATAAATTTGATTGACACGTCGCAGGGGGCAAGCATTGATCTTGAAGGGTCCTAAAATGCATAGATAAAATAATATATTAAAATACTTTTTTTTTAAAGAAATTTAATATGACCAACAGGCCCAACCCCAACCAGCTTACCTCAGACCATTTCACTCTAGAAAGCTGAGCGAGGCTAGCCTCAAGCTTCTGGCCTTTGACAGAAACTTCTCACACACACCAAACGGATTATAAACCATTATGACATTATATTTTTGGCATCAGCAATTTACGGACAAGAATTGATTGGTCATAAAATATTGAAGAAATTGCCAACGTACCAGTCACTAGGCACAGACCACTAGCCAGTTGTTTCAGGAATACCACTCTCTTTCCCTTGTGGCTTCCTGCCAAGAGGATGCAGACTGTCCCTGGAGTGATGGATGACCGCAGAGCCCTGCTTCTGGTCCTAAGAAAAATAAAGCACAATTTAACTAGATATTTCTGGATATGAATAGTGTATAGGGGTGCAATAAATGCAAGATTACAATGAATTCAGCAAGTACAAAATAATAAGTTTACTTCATAAAATTATTTCAGTGAATATAGCAAACTGAAGAGTATACATACAGCCAACCCATCCTCTTAAAAATTATAATACTATATTTATAGCAACTATGGGTGGTGCAAAAAATGGACATTTGTACTCAATTAGGTTTTATGACAAATACTCCAAATGGCATGCCAAAGTACTTCAAACTATACACCCAATTGGCCCTCTTAGGAAACAAAATATAAATAAATTACAAGTTTCTGACTGGGGATACCGAAGCAAATGTGTCGTTCAGCATTCTCTTTCTACTTACTTGGTATGCTTAGTCCTCTTCTTGGGGTTCAACTGTGTAGCATAGTAAGCGGGAAGCTGCTTTACACGGACCAAACGTGTACCTCCATTCTTCTCACCACCAATGGGTTTAGTAATAAAGGTCTTGGGCTTCTCAGCAACAACCTTTAAATATTTAAATAAAATTTATAATCATTAACCAATTAAAAATGGCTAATCAACAAATGTAGTACTGTATTATATACAGCACAGCATATTTTGCAATAAAGTAAATATATTTTCCTTGCTGCTTAGACTGTATCCATGAATAGATGTATTTAAAGCTTAATTTATACACAGCACGAGCAATTTCTAATAAGCATTCTATTATTAGTATTTTAAATGATTATACACAACAAAACATTAACCGGCGGCTATGGAAAAATGGCCATACCAGCCTATGTACAAAGATTTTAATTATAGAATTATTATTTGGTATGTAGAATATAAGAAAACCCCCAAAATAAGTGAATATTTATAGTTTCACTGGGTGGAGGCACTCTTAGCCTGCGTCTGGCATTTGTCGACGCCTGGTGCCCAAGTCAAGGTAAAAGTGGACATGGGACTATCTCAAAAATTACCATATTTGCCGCCGTATTATAAGACATGCTTTTATTATTTTTAACTATGAAAAAATGGATCTGTGTCTAATGTGGCCGTATTGCGGATGTGAGACCGAATGCCAATGACTAGAAGCTGGACGAGCATACTGTGCAAGTATGCTAGGCACAAAAATCTTTCCTAATAATAAAATCTTGAAAATAAGCAAGTTATCACAAACTTACAAAAAATTGCTTACAACACGTCAGCAGTTATGAGGGAAGCTCGCATCATCTTGGCACCTTATCCAGCATACATAACCTACACCCGATGACATACGTTATTTACCAACTGTTACCTTTATTAAACATTTATTCATTATCTAAATGAAAAATGTTCCTAGAAATTTGAAAGGAACGTTAAACATCCGCCTGTCAGCCACTTGGGATGAGTGAATGACAACAAAACAGTGCCACAATGGTGCGCCACCACCCACCAGCCCGATGCGTCAACACAAATCATCATCCAGAAATATAAGTTTCACATCCTGTATATCATGAAACATACTAAAAAGTTTTTCCACAAAATATCCTTGTAAAATAGGGGGTGCATCTTTTACGACAGCAAATATGGTAAATGTAATTTGGTACCCACAAAATTGCCTACAAAAATCTAAAAAATTTTTTTAAACAAACGTTCGTCAACAATTGGCTGGTTTCAAGTTTGAGAGTCCTCCAATAACACACGTTACTTATATTTTATGGAACAAGATTATTAGTTTAAATATGAGTGAAAAAAAAATATTCCTATAAAACCCTTAACAAATTCCTGCACAAAAAGTTGCAATTTTTTACCACTTCAGCAATTAAATTTTATTAGAGAATCATTAATTACATACATATCCACTTACCTTCTTACGTTTACCATAGCGAACAGTGCCTGGTTTGACAGTCTTTTTCACCTTTATCTCCCCCATGATCTACAAAAGAAATAGTAAACAATGTTTAACAATGCACCACAACAATCACAATAAGGTATTATCAAATACAAAATAATCCAATGATTGCAGGGAATTTAATGCACCGCATTGATATATGTGGTTAAGTTAAGTGTCATGTTTAGAGTTAAGCTTCAGCCAATGAATATGGGACTGAAGTTGTATTTGTTGCCCAAAATGACAGACCAATAGGCAAAGTGATAAGAGGTGCGAACAAATCAGTATAGACAAATCAACAGACTTTCCACTTTTTTTTTATATTGCACTTTCTCACAATGTAAAACATACAATGTGGCATAGACAATATGGACAGTTTCCAGTTAACCCTTTGACAGCGACTATTGAGCAATGGCCAAATCCGCCTATGCACAAAAAATACAAATTCCAAAAATTTATATTTCATTATAATTAATAATTTGAATGCAAAATATAAGACAAACACAAAAATATGTTAGTATTTATTGTCTGAATTTGGCACTGGTCAGGTTACCTTTTACGGTTACGTCAACTCCAGGTGACAAAACCACACACCAGAAGATGAAGACAATTCAGTCCGTCCTGGACCATTATCAAGTCGATTGTGAATCGACTTGAAAATGGTCCAGGACGGACCGAAATTTTACCGTCATTTTCATCTTCTGGTCTGTGGTTTAGTCATCATATCTTCAGCCATGTTATTGTGATTGTCTGCAATGCCTGGTGCTCGACTTTCCCTACGCTTCCAGATTTATTCTCTGATGTTTCACTGATTGTTTATCACTATTTACATTCAGAGAGCTTTTACCCATATTTGCATCATACATTTAAAACCCAGACAGTAATTGTTTAATTCATCATATAATGACCACATCTCCCTAGTAACATTAATTATGATAACTGCATCTGTACCATGAAATGCCAGCAAGATTTTTTTCACGGGTCTAGGTAAACTCCATTACATCCATATAGACCTATTATATCCATATTTACATCACACGTGTAAAACCCAGACAATAATTTGTTAAATCTTCACATGACAGAGAAACCAACCGCATTACCCTGTGAATCAACAATTGATAACGGCTGTTGAAAAAGCTAAGGAACAGAACGAGCAGCAAAGGTGACGATCAAAATTTAGTAGAGCCCAAGGAAATACTTGTGTTGAGAATGGAGGAAACATAATGAGCCAGTATGAAATTACAGTATAGTACTGTATTAGCAATTCTAAGTATGAATGCACTTGTTAAAATGCTGAAGCAGTGGTCTTCAGCTGGATCTTGCTTCACAACTATGCGAAGCAAGTACAGTATACAGACCAACACACAAGACAACCCAACATATCAAGAGACATTTTATCGACCACCTAGGACACGACTCTCAGTCTCCGGCAAAAGCACAAAAAAATGTTTTCTTGTAGGTATTTTTTTCTGTACCTTCACCAGTGCATGGAATGGAAACCAGAAAAATTACACGAATTATAGTCCAGAAACATTGAAAAATGAATTGAATCTTATTATTTTTATTTAAGTTTTTTTTTTTACATTGGTGGGTACAGGAACAGACGAATGTTGACTCCTGTTAGCAGGAGTCACCCCACAACTATTTACTAGATATCACAACACATGATTGCTGGATAGTTTCAAGACGAAGTTAAAAACATATATACATAGTGTGATTGAGTAGAATTAGCAGTTGCCTTACATGGACCTATCATTTAGTCCAGGGTTAAATAGGTTCTTGTTTCACCATAATCAAGACCACTCCCTCTTCCAATAATGCGATTCAGCTGGTATGACTTAGGCGGATGAGAATATTGAATACTGTAATTGATTGGTTAATTGACCGTAGCCTACGGAGGGAAGGAGGAGGATGGAAGGCACACTATGTATATTAAAGATAGGGTGCAAATACGATGGAGAAAAAGTTGAGGCCTATCCCGAGGGGGCCTGACAGCAGAGTAGACAGCGCTCAGGATTCATAGTCCTAAGGTTCCAGGTTCGATCCCCGGTGGAGGCAGAAACAAATTGGCAGTTTCTTTCACCCTGATTCATCTGTTCAGCTAGCAGTAAATAGGTACCTGGGAGTTAAGACAGTTGCTACGGGCTGCTTCCTGGGATAACAAAAAGGAGGCCTGGTCGAGGACCGGGCTGCGGGGATGCTAAGCCCCCAAATAATCTCAAGATATCTAACTTGGATTTTTGTAATGCTGAAATAATACTATTAACAAAAATCATAACTGTAAACAACCACTCACTTTGGTGCTTACCAAATTCAGAGTAATATTTCACTTGCTAGTTATTTTATCCCCTAACCTTAGGTTAGTTAAAAGGTTAGATAACAAGAACCTTTCACACTACAGATGCTATACCACAATGATACGCTTCACGATGCTAGTGCTCTCTAGGGTGGAGTACTGCAGCACAATGACAGCCCCTTTTCAAAGCTGGAGAAATTGTTGACATGGAGTGTGCAGAGATCCTCTACTGTTAGAATCCACTCGGTAAAACATTAAACTATTGGGACCGACTAAAGAGCCTAAATCTGTATTCTCTAGAGCGTAGGCAGGAGATACATAATAATTTACACATGGAAGATAGTAAAGGGGCTGGTCCCAAACCTGCACACAGAAAAAACATCACATGAGACCATGAGGCATGGCAGGATGTGGTGGGGACGCTAAGCCCCAAAAACACCTCAAGGTAACCAAGGTAGTTATGCGAATAGTAGCGGTAAACTGGCACGTGTACAAACTAGCGCATAATACTCAAAGGGATGAAACGACCAGCAATTGCTGATAAACTATATAGGAAGTTCACTTGGTAACCACAGCGAGTCATCAATGGATTTTTAAAACCTACCAAATACAACCCAAACAAATAATTACAACAAAATGTTGCAGCAAACAATTTGACCACAAGACACACCAATATAATAATAGAAGTATTCATACACAAGGTTATCCAAAATTTTAAAACACTTTGTAACTACCCAGAACATAATAATTCTGAATTAGAAAACTTAGACCATTACTTATTTAAAATGGCCGGTACATTTGACAATACACATTCCAGCATTACATTTACAAGATCACAAGACACTCCAACATTCTCAATTCTCCTTCCCCCTTCAAGATGCAAAAAAGAATAAACCTTACACGATTAACGCGATCATCGATCACACAATATAAACGATTATGATCAAATTAATCCACACAAGATTAGAAATTAACCTCAGCAAACCCGAAGGGAAGAGCAACGAGCACGTTGGGTCGGCTAGTTAACGCACTATGCTAACTTTAAACAAACTTATCAAGGACAAAAATGATAAAATACTACACCACGAACACCCAGTCACCTAAATCTGCATAACACAGCAACACTGAACAACCCCGAGTAATTCTACCGTAATTACGGTCATGCGGCCGCCTACCCCCAAAAACTTTGTTTACATCCACCCGGACACTCACACGTCCAACACCCTTCACACTTTTCACCAAATATCTCATCTATCCAGAGGATAATTCCTGAATATCACCATTCACTACAACCTAGACATATCAAATTTGAAGATCTTATTGGTACAGAATGATAGATGATGAAGATAAACAAGGATGAAAACTTTGATCTGGGGAGCCCAGAGACACTCACGTTCACTCAAATAGGAAAGACCCTCGAAGGGCCGCCGCTAGGTGGCTCTGTAGTGACAACATGCTTGGAAAATATGTATTGAGATAAATTCAACCTCCATGGGCTAAAATGGCAAATTTCAATTAATATTTTCATATAATTAATTATAATATTTATATTACACATTCTTAAGTGGTAATTAACAAGCTGTACACAGAATTGTTGATATAATAATTTCATGAACTTTAAAACCTCAGTTTCAGCTAATGCTATAAAAATATTTAAACAAAGTAAGTGATTTTAAAATTAATTTTTATAAAGCATAAATAATAAAAATTGTGATGTTATATATATGGCTACGTGGGACTCTTTGAAAATTTGTATCAATGTTTACCATTTCGACTCTTAGAGCATATTAACACTAGAGGAATCATCTACTCTGTGTATAAGGTTGGGCCAAAATTTACTTTACCGTACTAATATTTTAAACGACGATCATATATAAATTACAATAAAAAGAAAAAATAATAACAAAATTAATATAAATGTATTTTAGTTTACATATATATTTAAATTCATGTCCTTTTATTATTTTTTTATTTTAATTTTACATATGATTGCATTAATAAAAAACTAGTTCGGTAAAATAACTTTTGGGTAATCCTATAGGTGGAACTTACGTGTGTACATGTGTATACAACATTAATAATTTTGTAACTAGCGTCAAATAATTGTTATTTGCTTAGCTAAACGAACTAGAGGGTTCAGAGTTCCTGAACCGATTATGTGCCTCTGTAATCCTTTACACCACCGCCCACGGGATGGGTATGGGGTGCATAATAAAGAAAGAAATTGAATTGAATTGAATTCCAAGGTGAACAGTTGCATTAGGTGATAGGAAACGTGCCCAACCATTTCTGTCCTGCAATGATTGTGAGTTAAGAACGAACCCAATGTTTTGAGCAGATTTTCTTTCACAGTTTGTTTTGACTTCCTGGATAGGGGCATTTACTTTTTTAATATCTCATAATCTGTGTGATCCATGGTTTTCCACGGGTAAATTCATCTTTAGAGGTTGAGTTTAGTTGTTAAAGCCATTTTACGGCCTTTGATATCCATTTATTTATTTATTTATATACAAGAAGGTACATTGTGTGAGAATACATAGCATAGTATTTACAATCTTGTAAAGCCACTAGTACACGCAGCGTTTCGGGCAAGTCCTTAATCTAACAGATAATTTTATGTAGGTAAATTCTAGCAGAATTAATAAAATGATAGCAGATTTGGTTATTTTCCGCTTCCCTCTTTCTTGGCACATACAACTTTTTATTTTATTTATTTATATAACCTTGAGTTCTCACATTGTTGTAAAGCCATTAATAAACATAAGAGGTTCAGGCAAGTTCTTAATTTTCCCTGGAATAGAACCCGCGAAATTGTTTAACAACCGGGTAGCCATTCACTGATTTTTGCACAGAGGCGTACAGTTAAGGATTGGGGCTTAGTCAATCCTCCCAGGCCAGGATACGAACCTAGGCCAGTAATGGTCTCTTATTTTAATTACCCCATGATGCTTCAATGCCTTTATCTCCTATCAACTCCCTCCAGGAGGTATTTTGTCTTCATTCTTTGCTGTCTAATCGAAGGTAATAAAAAATTCATCATCCTGGACCTTTATTTGGGTTTCTAGAATTATATTCCATCTCAGAATTGCGTGGCCACATGTATGGGTGAGCGTCTCTCCTACCTGTATTTGATTGACCATGAGCACTCCTATGATGATGCTCTTGAGTCGCTGGTTTACCTAATGAGTTCCTCACCCACCTCCTTTAGGAACTTAAGGGCACATTTACCCCAGGCGCCCAGGGTCTCAGAGCCTATTAGCACAAACTTGTAACAACGTTCTAGGTCCCTGTACTTATTAGTTTTCTGGGTCTCCCTGAAGGTGGCCGCCCTGCCACTTTCAGCTGTACTGTGACGTAGATAGGTATCAACCAATATACACAATATATACTTTACTTTTGTCCTGAATATTTGCTGGCTGGCCATGTTATTAAGCACTGCCACACTGGTTTTCTCTGGAACACGACCAGCTAAAAGGTTTACAACCAGATCCCCATTTACTGATGGGTCAACAATAGCTAACATTCAATGATCAGTGCCCAGTCGACTCTCCCTGCACGGGGCTCGAACCCCGGCTGGTATAGACTGCTTTGGAATCGAGAGCGGAAATTTCGTCCTTGTCAGTGGAATCTCCTGCTTCGTGCGAGTCTCGATGCTCAGTAGAGTAATTCCACTTTTGGATTGTTGCTGAAGCAAAGATGAGGAAGAAGATTTCCGTGAGAGCATAGACAGGCACACAGGTCCAGAACACCTTCTGCCACTGCCCTAGTGTTTGCTGCAAGGAAAATTAAAATGTTTGAACAGCTGATTGAAATTGAAATAAGTTTATTGAGGTAAAATACACACAAAGGGATGAGGTAGCTCAAGCTATTCTCACCCTGTTCAGTACATCGTGTTAATACATACATAGACACACATCACAAACAGTAAACATATTACCAAACATTCTGAGATAAACATCTATATTTCCTAAGCTGACTGTTAGTTTGCTTTGGAATTGTCGAAAGAAGCACAGTAAGGGGTCGAGATACGAACATTCCTGAGTTTTAAACATATAAAGGATCAAAACACAGACTGTACTACAAGTACCAGATAACTCCATTACAAAAAGGTTGACGAAATTATCATGTCGGAAATTGTCGGATGCAGCATTTAACGTATTTATGAAAAACAAAATAAGCTAGAGCCCTAATAACTTGAAGTCGTGGTTTAATTATAACTACATCTCTCCATACCGACCCTCTCTTACCCATTCCCTACTCCTTCCTGTGGGGGGGGGGGTAGAAATAGCCTAAGCTACTCTATCCCTTTGAGATGTATTTCAATAGCCTAAGCTACTCTATCCCTTTGAGATGTATTTCAATAGCCTAAGCTACTCTATCCCTTTTAGATGTATTTCAATAGCCTAAGCTACTCTATCCCTTTGAGATGTATTTCAATAGCCTAAGCTACTCTATCCCTTTGAGATGTATTTCTTTCTTGTCTCAATAAACATACTTGAACTTGTACTCCTTCCTGCCCATCAAAGGTGACTGACTGGCCATACCTGGTTCTGTGTGAGGGCGCCAACGAAGATGGGAACGATGACGGAGACGACATTGGCGCACGTATTACACAACCCACTTAGCGTCCCTGGTTTTGAAATTGAAATAAGTTTATTGAGGTAAAATACACACAAATTGATGAGGTAGCTCAAGCTATTCTCACCCCGGTAGCGTTCCTAGTGAACAAGGAGAGGTGAGGTTAGGCATCATGGGGGTATAGTAACGATATAAGAACATAAATAACATAATAGAGGAACCCGCATAAGGCCTATCGGCCCATGCGAGGCAGCTGCTATAGTTGTAATTTTACGGACTGAGGAATTTTATTGTTTCAGTGCACTACAGTTATTGCATGTTGGTATAAGATAAATTCCTATTGGCTGCTAAGTAGGAAATACATGTATGACTTACCGCAGAAGTTGGTTGTGACGTCCACACGATTAGCAAACAAGCCGGTGGTGATAGATCCATTGAGGAAGAAGCCTAGGCAAAGGAGTGTCATGGCGAGGGACCAATCGCAGCCAGAGTAAGCCACTAACAAGAGGTTCAGTGCCGGTCCAAACATGGCTGCAAAGACATCACGTGGCATTAGAATTAACACACCTGAAGTCATTAGCAGTTAGAACACCCGGAGAAGATCTTAGTCAACACACTCGGGGAAGATGATCAGTTAACACACCCGGGTTCATCGACATACAATGTTTCAGATTCGCGAGGAAGTGATGTGATACTATGAAATCCCGTGGTGGACCGTGACTACAATGGATCCCATTCTAGATTGATTGATTGATGAAGATTAAGCCACCCAAAAGGTGGCACGGGCATGAATAGCCCGTAAGTGGTGGCCCTTTGGAGCCATTACCAGTATCAAGAGCTGATACTCTTGATACTGTGGAGATCTGTGGAGGTGCGACTGCACCCTGCGTGACGGGAGATGTCTCCCGTCGCATCCCGTGCTGGGATTTCCTGAAATGTGGTGGCTGACGCAGGGGACAGGGATGGCACAGGGCCAATATTACATCACGTCTGCGTCACTGGATCTTCCAGAAATTCCCCCGTTGGTCTAGACTTCCTGCCGTACATTCTAGGAAGCAGAGTTCGCCTACCTTTCTAGCATCGTCTCTTGCTAGCCTCCAAGAGAGGGTTCATCCTTCATCCGTGGGTCCGGTATGCCCCAGAACAATAGGCATTGTGTGGCGCACCCAAATCTTTAAGCCGACGCATGAACGGAATGTCCACCAAGTCACCAAATACCAGCATATTGCCGATAGATGATAAAACATCTGACAAGCAAACAAATAAATCGAAGAACACATATAAATGAAGTTCTCAGATTAAATAAGTGGTGTACATAGGCTTCAGTATACACGTGTTGGACCGTACCTATAGCGCTGAAGATCCTGCGGATGGTCAGGACGGAGAGGACGCCCCGCGCCATCAGCAGGTCTCCTGTCGTGGCGAACACGGCGGCCCCCAGGTAACGACACAGGAATGGTAGGGCAGACAGCAGCCCATTCTGAAAGAAAAAGGTTTGAAGCGTGTTGTAAATGTCCGTGTTTTTCTGTGTGTGACAGTCTTAGTATACTGGTCTGTGGCATAACGGTCTACATCTTCCATTCACCAACCGAAGGACCCGTGTTCAATCCCCAGGCAGGACAGAAACGATTGGCCAAGTTTCCTTTCATCTGACGCTTCTGCTCACGCTTATAAGTAAAATAGGCACCCCGGAGTTATTTAACAGCCACTCTCCTGGTCAACAAAGGTGTCCAGCAGCTGGACACCCTCAAAGACTGTGAAACAGTATCCTCCCCCGCGATAACAGCTTGATGGTTAAATGCAACCTCAGAATACTGAGAAAAAAAAAATTGTACCACTTACGGGCTATTCATGCCCGTGCCACCTCTTGGGTGGCTTAATCTTTATCAATCAATCCCGGAGTTAGGCAAAAGTTGTGGGGAAAAGGCACCTCCAAAGGATACCTGATCAACCAGGCTGTGGTTCGTACGTCAGGCTGCGAGCAGTCGCGTCCAACAGCCTGGTTGACCAGTCCAACATGACGACTGGGGCTTAGCGTCCCCGGGCCGCGGGGACGCTAAGCCCCGGAAGCACCTCAAGGTAAGGCCAGGTAGGTGACCTCAAGGGGTGCAACCTGGATAAGATTGGCAGTTGGTCTTGATTACCCCCCCCCCCCGTCCCACACAGATTAGTCTAGGTGACATAACTAACCAATCGGAGTTAAACCACGCCACGATGGACGGGTTGTGGAAATAACTCCAGCGGCCAGATTCACGAAGCAGTTACGCAAGTACTTACGAACGTGTACATCTTTCCTCAATCTTTGACGGCTTTGGTTACATTTATTAAACAGTTTACAAGCATGAAAACTTGCCAATCAACTGTTGTTATTGTTATAAACAGCCTCCTGGTGCTTCAGAGCTCATTATCTGTTTAATAATTGTAAACAAAGCCGCCAAAGATTGAGAAAAGAGTTGTACAGGTTCGTAAGTGCTTGCATAACTGCTTCGTGACTCTCCGCGATGCACTGTCACGCTATTCCTAATCGCCAACAGAACCTAAACACCTGACCTAACCTAATCTATGCCTATATATACACAATATGCCAATATATTATACTCCCAATGAAAAAGGCTGCCTATGATCCGACAATCCTAAGGCGCATAATAGAAGAGCAAATGTATAGCATAGCAGTAGCAGGAGCCACCCACATCTTCACAGACGGATCGGTGGACACAGAAAATGAGAGTGCTGGCGCTGCTCTTTGCACGGCCAGCGTTCAGGCATATTGGAGACTGGGAGGACTAGTATCATCAACCCAAACTGAGCTGTTCGCCATACAACAGGCATTCGCATATGTGATTGCACAAAACACTCAAAATGCAATCATACACACAGACTCAAAAGCTGCACTTCAAATACTAGGACAAAAACAGTGGAAAGATAATGTGGAAATAATTACCACCATTTTGTATCAAGGAGCAGTCGCTAAAGGCAAAGGCCTCAACATAACTTTAAACTGGATCCCATCCCATATTGGAATCACATTAAATGTAAAAGCTGATGAAATTGCTAAATTGGCAACTCGTCATCCAGTGATACATAAAACAATTCAACCCAGCCTAGAGAACATAAAAAACATCATCACCAAAAAACTGTCACATCTCAACAAAGCCTACCTACACCAGAGAATAGCTGAAGGTTCGCCATCTGCAACATGGTATCTTCAGGCAACCAAATTAGAAAGGTTAAATATCCCAAAAGGAATCCACAGGGAAATAGCAGTTAGGTTATATAGACTACGTCTAGGTTACAGATGCAACTGGGAGATTGGTGAACCCCGACAGAGAGAGTGCATCTTCTGCCAAACTGTCACAGAAAAGCCATTACTTCACTATCTTCTGGAATGTGAAGCAACCAATGACCTTAGAAGAGCTTTAAGAGTTCCTGAATCATGCAGTGGCCACCCTGAAGCCATCAACACAGCCACTCTCCTGGTCAACAAAGGTGTCCAGCAGCTGGACACCCTCATAAAGACTGTGAAGCAGTATCCTCCCCCGCGATAACAGCTTGATGGTTAAATGCAACCTCAGAACACTGGGGAAAAAAAAAAAAAATTGTACCACTTACGGGCTATTCATGCCCGTGCCACCTCTTGGGTGGCTTAATCTTTATCAATCAATCATCATATATTATAATATTAATTTATACTTGAGAAAATTCCCGTTTTGAATGAACAGCATGTAAAAATTTATGAATGCGTCTGTGGGGTTGACCGCTGAATGTAATGGACTTGAGTTGAGGACGGGTTGCTATTCCTGCATCGTTTAGTAGAATGTCCCGAGGTTAACAATAATATACACAGTTGATTTACAACAAATGTTACTGGAGAAAATACTCAACGAATCATTGTTTTGGTGCTGGGCCTAAGGGCTAATCAATCTCAATCTATATCTAATCTATCAATCTCCATGCAATATTGACCTTATTGACCAATCAATAAGTTAACATTAGTCTTGATTCGACTACTGAACATGGTGTTTGATGTAGATAATTATACATATTGATAATCGATTAGTTCCTGCTCTATTGGATCAGTCGCGTCCAACAGCCTGGTTGACCAGTCCAACATGACGACTGGGGCTTAGCGTCCCCGGGCCGCGGGGACGCTAAGCCCCGGAAGCACCTCAAGGTAAGGCCAGGTAGGTGACCTCAAGGGGTGCAACCTGGATAAGATTGGCAGTTGGTCTTGATTACCCCCCCCCCCGTCCCACACAGATTAGTCTAGGTGACATAACTAACCAATCGGAGTTAAACCACGCCACGATGGACGGGTTGTGGAAATAACTCCAGCGGCCAGATTCACGAAGCAGTTACGCAAGTACTTACGAACGTGTACATCTTTCCTCAATCTTTGACGGCTTTGGTTACATTTATTAAACAGTTTACAAGCATGAAAACTTGCCAATCAACTGTTGTTATTGTTATAAACAGCCTCCTGGTGCTTCAGAGCTCATTATCTGTTTAATAATTGTAAACAAAGCCGCCAAAGATTGAGAAAAGATGTACAGGTTCGTAAGTGCTTGCATAACTGCTTCGTGACTCTCCGCGATGCACTGTCACGCTATTCCTGCATCGTTTAATAGAATGTCCCGCGGTTAACAATAATATACACAGTTGTTTTACAACAAATTTCACTGGATAAAATACTCAACGAATCATTGTTTTGGTGCTGGGCCTAAGGACTATCAATCTCATGGTTAGCAAGATCACAGTGGTCTCCATCTCATGTTGGCCTCCGAATGCATGATAGAGCTGATAAGTTAGCCAAAGAATCTGCCTTTAAAGGAGCCGTTGAGTGTAACCTTGGATTGTCAATGAGCAATCTGAGAGCAGCTGTACACCGAGAACTTCAACAAGATCTTGTAGATCTGAGGCAAAGTGAAATTGACACCAGTAATTCCATCTATCATCATACTATCATGCAAGAGGAGCCACACATCTATGGATCATCCAATAAAATCAGCAGACTTCTAGATGTTACTACTGCTCGGCTTAGACTCGGTTACAAGTATCTCTGGGAATTCTCATTATCTGCTGATGTAGACCTGACCAAATGTAAACTGTGTCAACAAAATTATTCGCACACCCTCCGTCACTATGTGATGGAGTGCGAAAAGATACGTGAATTTAGAGACAATTCTATAACCAATGTTCCAGCGATGTGTCAATATTTCATTCAAAATGATCTGCTACCAGAAATTTTAGCCAAATATCCCCAGTTTGCTAACTGTAGGTAGTAACTAAGTGATTGTAACCTATCCACCGCTGCCCACTGGATGGGGGGCGGTGTGCAGGACAAACATATAAATTTTGACACTAGCTCTGCACATATGTCAGTTGCTTAATTTAGAACCTGTACTTGAGGTCGATCTCGAACCCATTGTTGATGTGATGACTTATATTGAATTTTGTAACTAGCTCATCAAGATTGTAACTTGCTTAGCTAAATGAATTGTGGGGTTCAGTCCCTGAGCCCATTATGTGCCTCTGTAACCCTTTCCACTACCGCCCACAGGATGGGTATGGGGTGCATAATAAATGAACTAAACTAGCATTAGCTTATTGACCAATCAATAACTCCATGCAATTTGGACCTTATTGGCCAATCAATAAGTTAACATTAGTCTTGATTCGACTACTGAACATGGTGTTTGATGTAGATAATTATACATATTGATAATCGATTAGTTCCTGCTCTATTGGATTTGTTGTGCTTATTAAAAAAATAACTAATTTATGAAACTGATCCTTTTCCATATTATTTTGGATAAAGCTTGCACATGTGATTTATATTAAATTATCCACAAAAATGCATTAAACGTCAAAACAAAATAAAGATTCGATACATTCAAGAGGAAACTCAACCGTGTTCGATCCTCCATACTGTTTTGTTACACCACTTAGTGCATCGGGGAATCGAACCCCGGCCCTGCACGAAGTGAAATAGCAGGGCAGACAGGCTACCGAACAGTCAAAATTGACCAGTAGCATTTCAGCACATACATATAAGAGTACTTTAAGAAACTCTTGCTGCTGTGGCAAGAGTGAATGCATGCTGCTGTGGCAAGAGTGAATGCATGCTGCAGTAGCCTCACTTCTTGAATAGAGAACCCCAGGATGTTTTGGATGTACGTCGGCAGATATGAGAAGTAGACGCTGAAGCCAAAGGAGTTGCCAGCATCACAGAGAAGGAGGGCCCAGACTGGCAGGCTGGTGGCCATCTCTCGCCACGGCACCGCTACTGGAGGCTTCGCTACGCACTCCATATCCTCCATGTTGCTATTTATGTATTCCAGTTCTTCGGGGCTGATTCTGTAATACACCACATGTCTGTAATGCATACGTGAACTAACTGGAGAATGTAATGACCTCTAGAAGTTAACTATTTAGAATATTGAGTGTTGACCAGACCACACACTAGAAGGTGAAGGGACGACGACGTTTCGGTCCGTCCTGGACCATTCTCAAGTCGATTTGAGAATGACCATTCTCGACTTAAGAATGGTCCAGGACGGACCGAAACGTCGTCGTCCCTTCACCTTCTAGTGTGTGGTCTGGTCAACTTACTTTAGCCACGTTATTGTGACTCATCGCCTGAATATTGAGTGATTGTCATACATAAACAATGGCCACATACCCTACCTGAAGCTGTTGTTGTTGTTATAGATTCAGCTACTCGGAACAAGTTCCAAGTAGCACGGGCTATGGTGAGCCCATAACTGAAGCACTGAATGATTGTTATACATGAACCAGAGGCACGTGACCTACCTGGGGTGCTTACTGGGCGACTCATACACGAGGGTGAACCACAGGAGACACCAGGTTAACGACATGGCTCCTGTCACGTAGAAAGCGGCGTCCCATCCAAGGGAACTGATCACGACGCCACACAGAGGCATCGTCAGGGTGATGCTCAAGTTGTTACCTGGACATATACGAACACATTGAGGCACTCCTATTGAAGTATGTTGACCAGACCACACACTAGAAGGTGAAGGGACGACGACGTTTCGGTCCGTCCTGGACCATTCTCAAGTCACAATCGACTTGTGAATGGTCCAGGACGGACCGAAACGTCGTCGTCCCTTCACTTTCTTGTGTGTGGTCTGGTCAACATACTTTAGCCACGTTATTGTGACTCATCGCCTGCACTTCTATTTAAATCATCAGCCATAGACTCTAAGTTTTACATTTATATAAAACAGCGGATAAAGATTGTAAATTTATATAAGCCTTCTCAATTCACCTTTATGTCTTTCATATACTGTACTGAGTCTTTCATATACTGCCTACTTTGAATACATGAATATTAGCAAAAGGCCTCTTGGCCCTTAAGAGTTGTCTCCTATTTATACCCACAAACTCATTCATATATGTTTAATCTAAGCTTGAAACACATCAGTTATCCCTCGTCCAGTATGCTACCCTGTTTCCAAACCAGTATTTATCTGGTTTGGAAATCTTGCTTTCGTTCTCTTGTTCTCACATTGTAATTCCTTCTGGTCTCATTCTCTTTTCTACTTCTTCCCTAAAATAATACTTCCTTATTATGTACTACTACTCGTATCGATATGTACTACGCTTATCTCCAATTTCCACATATGCCTTTTTTTTAATTTCTTATCTAAATGCCTCTTCTTGTCGACTATATCAATTTCTAATATTTTTAACAATTAAGAGATTACAGGACGATAAGCGCCCCTACTTATATCTGGATGTTCAGAGGTGTTCCTAACACAGCTGACTTGTTACGACTCCAGATATTTTAGTTTATATGAGTCCAATTACATCTGGATTCGTGTGTGTTCTTCAGAGCAAGTCTGCTTTGTAACCCCCAGTGATTTCTGCATAATTTCACTTTCAAACTTCTTTATTCTCCTTTCTGTGTATGTAAGGTTAGTGTGTAGGGGCCAAGCGGACAGCACGCTGGACTTGTGATCCTGTGGTCCCAGGTTCGATCCCAGGCGCCGGCGAGAAACAATAGGCAGAGTTTCTTTCACCCTATGCCCCTGTTACCTAGCAGTAAAATAGGTACCTGGGAGTTAGTCAGCTGTCACGGGCTGCTTCCTGGGGGTGGAGGCCTGGTCGAGGACCGGGCCGCGGGGACACTAAAAGCCCCGAAATCATCTCAAGATAACCTCAAGATAAGAAGATGGGTCGGGAGGGGGATGGGTCAAGAAGATCATAGTCAGCCCCATCACTCAGGGGTGATGGGGCCTGGAAGGGGGAGATGGGTAACGGGGAGGGTAGGGAGGGAGGGAGGTGTAAGGGTGAACCCAACAATTTAGATAAGATAACCGAAATAACTCACAAAAAAGAACATACGCGATAAACCTTGACCGCTCTGTCGGAGGCATCCAACGGACCATCAGAGGGAACACGCTGGGGATTGTAGCTCCCTGCAAGAGCAAGTGAAAAATATGTATTAATGATAGGAATTGTAAGGAGTACTTGCCATGTCGATCTTACTCATTAATAAGCCATTATTTGACTCGTATATCTAGCAATCAATTAACATTTAATTTTTCTGTGCAATTAAAAAAGGACGTGTTACAAAAATTAATAATATATATGTGTAGATTTGCGTGTGAATCCGGTGGTCCTTTTGATTATGGGGCTGATTTTGCAGTTCCGTTTGAGATATTTTCTTGCACGCTTGATTCGTTACGGAAAACTCAGTCACGAGGCTGTTTGGTAATCTATACCAGCATCATTTGCACACTAAATGTTTCTGACGTCGCCAAAGTGTAAAGGAGGATTCCATAACAGTGTTACAAGAAATAGGCTGCTACTTGCCCCAAGAACTCTGGAAAAAAATAAACCTTCAAAGTTAAAAAAGGCAACACAAGTATCACACCAAGACGTCCAAGCCTGTACACACCTGGAAGAGTCCTTGTGTGACCCGCAAGGCAATAAGCAGGCCATAGTGTATGCGGGATACTGTAGGTGTGAAGACGGCAGAGATACCACCAGCCAAGATGCTCACGCCAAAAACCAGACGTGTTCCGTACAGCTCTGAGAGCCTTCCGCCAAGAATCTGTTAAGGAGATGTTGTTGTACAGGGTTCTAACGGACGCTATAGAAACTATTCATGTTTCAGTAACATATAGTTAATGGAACTGTCATTAGAGACTAGACCTGAGTAATACAGTAGCCGTAGAAGAAGGCGCCCAGTACAAAACCCTGTGTCACCTCATCCCAGTCTAGTTCACCTTCCTGTGGACGAGAGAACAAAGCCATTAAAAAGACGATAGATGTTCGTTACAAATCTTTTTCAGGTATTTTGTTTCAAAAACATCATATAGTGATTGTTTTTTATGCTGAAGGTACTTCAAAACTGTTTATACTAAACAATTCTGAAAAATATTGACCAATTTCTTTGGGGCACATGGCCTTTATTCTGCTCCTACAGTCGCAGAACTAAAATAAATTTATTCAGACAGCCTCATGGTCCTCATGATCTTAACCTCTGACATTACTTGGAGTTAATCTAAAAGTCTGAAATGCTACGCTGTTTTAGATTTAGCTACTCAGAACGGAATGTCCATGTAGCACGGGCTATGGTGAGGCCATAGTGGACTTACCTGGCACAGGAGCGGGGCTGCAACTTTCTTGCTACGCATGTTGTTGTTGTTGTTGTTATAGATTCAGCTACTCGGAACAAGTTCCAAGTAGCACGGGCTATGGCGAGCTTATAACTTACCTGGCACAGGAGCGGGGCAAGAAGCACGGGCTATGGTGAGCCTCGTGGATGGAAGATGTCTCCGTGTTGCTACGCAAGTGCTGAGATAATATATACAAGCCTAGTATCTCACCATGTCACGGGAGACATCTCCCGTCACGCAGGGTGCAGTCGCACCTCCACAGATCTCCAGTATCATCTATTGATACTGGTAATGGCTCAAAAGGGTCACCACTTACGGGCTATTCATGCCCGTGCCACCTTTTGGGTGGCTTAATCTTCATCAATCAATCAATCTCACCATGGCAGATTCAGCCAGCAGAGCAGAAGACATGTCTTCAGTGCCTGAAGCCTCATCTTCAACAGTCTTCAACTCTTCGAGATGGGTAGCGTTGGCTGTAAGTACACAGCAAATAGTGCGATATTACGAAATATTATATTTTAAAAGTGACAATAAGTAGCAGTCCTGGTTTGTTGGCAATCCTCAAGGACATTCCAGGGGCAGTGCTACAGAATATTACGAAAATGCAACAAATTGTATATTGTTGATAATATATTTTTGCTGAATACAGAAAAATGACGTACTGTAGTAGAGATTTCTACTGTATATCGAATCTGAATAATTTTCAGGGTACAATAGGAATACACAATGTTGACGAATATTCTGAAAGATACAACAGGCAATTATTATTAATATTAATGCCTCATGTAAGCACAGCCACAGCCGAATTCAAGGATTCAGTAAATTAGCATTGTAAATGTGTGGCCACGTCTGTGGTAGAAAATAATAATAATAATAAAAGTTATCTTTTACATTAGTAGGGTCAATGCAGCCCCAGCATGCACCAGAATTTGATGAAAACCTGTACCCAAATTGCATAAGAGAGTTGCCAGTTCAATCTCTAGTGAAGTGGTCATAGTACTGCGTATTACATTGCCAGGAGGTGAACCCTGGCAATGCAAGTTCGAATCCTGGTTGGGGTCATAGAATTCTTAAGTGAAATATATGAATATTAAGTGGACTGACCAGAGAAGTCGATGGAGATACAGTGGGTATGTACTTGAGTGATGCTGCTCACGTTCCGACGCACCATGGCAACGATGGCAACAGACAGGTTGACCCGCACCATCACTGTATTCATCATCCCCAGCAGTGCCAGCAGTGCCATGCTTATTCTCGCTGGCATCCATCCTAGCGCTGGATCATACACGTTAATCTCAATTGATCTTTAATTTTTTTAACGTGGATCATGTATATTAAAATACATAATTCCAATTACAAAAACAAAATTAATACAGTTTAAGAAGAGACTGAATATAGACACTAATATTTTTTTTTTTAGATATACACTCAGCCTGATACGAATTTATTGATGGGTATCTAGAAGTCTGCTAACCTAATACACTAACAGATTATTACACTGATATGCTAATATATAAAGCTTAAAAACTCTCACATGCAGTACCAAAGTATGTACTTACGTATTTGTGTCTGCAGGATCAAGCTCTAGTTTCTGGACCCCGCTTTTCTTACCGCTGGTTGTCTAATGTAATGACTCCTAGCCTATTTCTCTATCATACCTGCTCTTGAAGTTATGAATGGTGTTAGCCTCTACAATGTAACTGTGTGTGTGTGTGTGTGTGTACTCACCTATATGTACTCACCTATATGTGCTTGCAGGATCGAGCATTGACTCTTGGATCCCGCCTTTCTAGCTATCGGTTGTTTACAGCAATGACTCCTGTCCCATTTCCCTATCATATCTAGTTTTAAAAGTATGAATAGTATTTGCTTCCACAACCTGTTCCCCAAGTGCATTCCATTTTTCTACTACTCTCACGCTAAAAGAAAACTTCCTAACATCTCTGTGACTCATCTGAGTTTCCAGTTTCCACCCATGTCCCCTCGTTCTGTTATTATTACGTGTGAACATTTCATCTATTTCCACTTTATCAATTCCCCTGAGTATTTTATATGTCCCTATCATATCTCCTCTCTCCCTTCTTTTCTCTAGTGTCGTTAGGTTCAGTTCCTTCAGCCGCTCTTCATATCCCATCCCTCGTAACTCTGGGACAAGCCTCGTCGCAAACCTCTGAACCTTCTCCAGTTTCTTTATGTGTTTCTTCAGGTGGGAGCTCCATGATGGCGCGGCATACTCTAAGACGGGTCTCACGTAGGCAGTGTAAAGTGCCCTAAAAGCTTCCTCATTTAGGTTTCTGAATGAAGTTCTAATTTTCGCCAGTGTAGAGTACGCTGCTGTCGTTATCCTATTTATATGTGCCTCAGGAGTTAGATTAGGTGTCACATCCACTCCCAGGCCTCTTTCTCGAATCGTTACAGGTAGGCTGTTCCCCTTCATTGTGTACTGTCCCTTTGGTCTCCTGTCACCTGATCCCATTTCCATAACTTTACATTTACTGGTGTTAAACTCCAGTAGCCATTTCCCTGACCATCTCTGCAGCCTGTTTAAGTCCTCTTGGAGGATCCTACAATCCTCGTCTGTCACAACTCTTCTCATTAATTTTGCGTCATCTGCTGTGTGTGTGGGTATGCCTGGAGTGTGTGTGTGTACATATATGTACCGTACAATATTGCACATTTGCGCACCTGTGTCTATATATATATATATATATATATATATATATATATATATATATATATATATATATATATATATATATATAATTCATCTTTATCCCGCATACATGTGATAATTACTTACCAAAGGTCAAGAAAGAATTTACGCTGCACTTGCATCCAGCCATTTTGGAGTTCCACAGGAGCCAATATTTACCTGGTCAGAATAATAGTCATGAATGCCAATTAGAAAATGTGTCAATATCTATAGAGTAAAATTATTCTGCAAGCAATGGAAGAATATGTTTGAAAGGAATTGACGCAGGTTTTATCAATTTTCTTTAACGTAGGAGGCTTCTGATACTTGAAGCTGTGTTCATTCGGAAGCTGACACCAGTAATGAACATCCAGATGAATTTGACTTCGAGCATACAACTATTTAATGGTCCTCCATTGACCAAGAAGGAAGATGTAAGATCTGGCGGTCAACTAACTAAAATCTTATTTTTTCCTTCGTAAGTACATAACGTGATCATGGCGTGTAATGTCTAGCATTTAGATTCAATTAAATTTAACAAATGTGGGTTGAAAATATAATGAGTTCAACGCTCTACATACAAAAAATATACACACCAACTTACCAAAGTGCAGCAAGCAGCCCGTAACATCTTCCCCCAACGACTGTTGCGGCGGCACTGAGCCAGGGTTACCAGATCTAAATTGCTGAAAGTAGCGAGCTGACGGTCTAAAAGTAGCGAATTTGTAATTAGAGTAGCCCAATTTTTTTTTAGTGAATGATGTGGGTTTCAAAGTAATATATTTTGATATATAGAGTACACTACACGATGTTAATTGTTTTATTAATATTATTTCTACACATACACACACACACACACACATATATATATATATATATATATATATATATATATATATATATATATATATATATATATATATATATATATATATATATATATATATATTGATTTTTTGCCGCCAGAGATGGATAGTTCATTAAGCATCCCCTATTCAACCAGTGAGTGGTGGTTTATTGTGCACCCCGAACCCCGACCAGTTGTGTAAGCGGACCCCGACCAGTTGTGTAAGCGGACCCCGACCAGTTGTGTAAGCGGACCCCGACCAGTTGTGTAAGCGGACCCCGACCAGTTGTGTAAGCGAACCCCGACCAGTTGTGTAAGCGGACCCCAATAAACATACTTGAACTTGAAGTGGACTTTAATGTTTTTCGGCAGCTTTATTTCCTTAGTTTCCGAGCTGTTTTCTTTACCGTGTATGTTGTAATAAACTATTCCTATATTTACAGTTGTTTCTCCCTGTGAAGATTATTAAACAATGGTGATTATAAGGGCGCGGAAGTTCAGCCTGGCCAGGGCCGCCAGCAGCCCTTGGGCCCGCCCCGGCAGCTCCCAGTCTTTAATTTGGCACCTTTGTGGCACCTTTGTGGGACCTTGGTATAAGCCTAACATGTATATATACACTGGCTGCCTGTCCCCCCTACACAATGATTTATTATTGCCTATTATTTTATCATTTAATTTAAATATTAAATAAAATAATGTATTTAATTATTATAGTAAGTACTTAATAATTTAATAATAAGTAGTAAGTACACAAAAATGATTAAAAAGTACAGTTTAGTCATAGAAGATTCCTAGATTGGAATTCACTACCAAATTTCTATATATGCAAATATTTTTAGTGTGAAATGCTGTTATTATATGCATAAATTGTTGTTTTAATAATATTACGCTTAACCACTTGGGCTGGACGGTAGAGCGAACGGTCTCGTTTCCTACAGGTCCGCGTTCAATTCCTGACCGCCCAAAAGGTTGGGCACCATTCCTTTCCCCCGTTCCATCCCAAATCCGTATCCTGATCCCTTCCGAGTGCTATATAGTCGTAATGGCTTGGCGCTTTCACTTGATAGTTCCCCCCCCTTGAATAATATTACGAGGGCAGTATTTACGGGCTATTCATGCCCGTGCCACCTCTTGGGTGGCTTAATCTTCATCAATCGAGAGCAGTACGTCCTAACCAGACGTTATATGATGATATCCTGAACAGTTGATAAATAGAAGTAATTGCATAACTCCAGTTATCTAATACTTATCATAAATGGTATAAAATCTTATCATAAGCTAAGGGATTTGTAGATCAGTGTTTAAAGGGAATTCGGAGGTAATAATAATACAGCTGATGCCATCTGTCGGCAGAAGAGAACACTATCAACTTGCTGGTCAATAGTGGCCATAAGATACAGCTTACGCCATCTGTTGACATCAAATTACACCTATAACAAATTACCCTACAAAATACCACTAACGCCATCTAGTTTTTTTCCAACGCACTATAAATAGCCAAACAGCAACCCATAAGGGGGGTTGTTGTGCTCGGGTAGGAGGTTCCAAGCTCCGCCCACAGATGGTATGGGGGTGCATAATAAATGACATATCATTGGTAGATATTCTTTGTTGACATTCACTCAACATGTGTACGTCTGATACCATACTACTTGTGAGGGAGGAAATGTATATTTTTACCTCTCAGAATGTTTGGTAATGTGTTTATTTGTGACAATTTCAATTTCACACAACAGCCAATCACAGGAAGGGATCAGCTAAAGGCTCCATCCACTTAATAAATCATCTTTATTCAGCACACCATCCTTGCTTATGACAATCTGCTTCAACTTTAATCTACCTAAAAAGTGAAATGTTAAGTATTTAAAAGTATTAATATATTGATAATTAAATACTGCAGGATGTAACGAGTGTTACAGAAACATGGGCTGGCTACCTAACTTGTGACGTCATCAGTGGGTGTTGCCTCACACAAATAATATCGGCGATACAATGCCTCCGTCCTCTTATTGGTCTACATTATTCAGTTAGATGGAAATTTCTGTCTTGTATAAAACAGAAATTGTTGTTCTTTTGTACAACAACACCAAGGTTGTTGAGCAAAAGGATGTATTTCTTATTTTGCATTTTATTCATATAAGCGTTGGCATTCCCCGCAACAGCCAATCACAGGAAGGTATTTGTTGGAAACTCTGCCTTCAACAAAAATGATTCCTAATGAACTCTAACAATAAATTCGTTTAATAAACGAGTATTTAGGGTCAAGCTACAGATGAACATTATAGGATAACGGTGTTTTAGCTTGCAGCTTCGTTAGACAGAATCCCTGGTCTTAATTTTAAAAATAAAGAACTAGAAAGCGTATTTTATTGCTAACTTTTCGAGAAATAAATCCCAGTCTCATATTTGCGTACATTTATGCATTGATTTTTTGGCTTAAGTTCTTATCATAATCCCTTTTGCAATCTCAACACCATCTGGCTCGTATCTTGTAACTATCTTCGTTACTTAGCCTCAAAACCTTACATTTGTCTTACATATCCTCAACAGTAGATAAAAAAAGTAATTGCAGAATTCTAGTTACCTAATACCAGCATGGTATAAAACCTTATTATAAGCTACCAGACGTATAGATCAATGTTTAAAGTAATAATAATACATTATTATTAATGTAATAATATTATTAAAATAATTATAATACAGCTGATGCCATCTGTCGGCAGATAAGAACACTATCAACTTTTTTTTTTTTTTTTTTTTTCTTTTTAGCAGGGATAGTACTGCGCGGGCCCTAAGCCTCTGGCTGGCCCACTAAGTGATGCTCGTGTCTGTTTTACCTGGGCGGAGGATGAGTATGTATGACCCGTATGGTCGCTTCAGTAAGATTTTGCCATATGTGTTTAACAACTTCCTCTGCTCTGTCGAATCGAAGGTGAAATCTTAACGGGTTTGTAACTGTGCACTGCGTTAGATAATGTTCCAGTGGTGTGTCGGGCATTTCTTCACAGTGTTGACATTTCCTCTCACCTTCCGGAACCCGTAAGCCTATTTCCCATGCACATGGGTATCCAAGCCTGATGCGATGTAAGTGCACTTCTGTTGCTCTACTGCTCCCTTTCATCAAACTAAGTGGTTCGTAGTTGGTGGAATTCTTGTACCAACCCGCAGATCCTGATGTTGCAACTGCTGTGTTGTGGTCACTGTACAGCCTTCGCATTGCTCTGTTTCGAATCACTTTCTTCATCTGGGAGAGACTCTGTGGTATGTAAATGTCTACATTCCTCCTCTTAGTAGCAAGTTTTGCAGCTTCGTCTGCAATGTCATTACCTAATAGTCCCACATGACTTGGCACCCAGTTGATAAGCACCCGTCGGCCTTGTCGGTGGAGTGTGTGCATGAATGATAAGACATTGGTGATCAGATGGATGTTATCACATATGTGTTCCTGTTGCAAGGTTTCAATGGCGGTTCTCGAATCTGTATGGACGATAACATGTTGGCGGTGTTCAGCAAGAGCATGTTCCAAAGCCTTTTGAATGGCTAGCATCTCAGTCTGTAAAGTCGAACACCCATTTGAGAGCCTCCAACTATATACAGAGTTTCCTGCTTTAACTGCAGCTCCGGTTTCCTGTCCCTGCTGGTCTACTGACCCATCCGTGAAGTAAGTGAAGCTGTCGGATGCCATGTTTGCTTCTATATGCATCTGTGCAATGTGACGTAGCAGATGAGGATGTGTCTGGTTCTTCTTTCCGTCAAGAGCCATAATCTGAAAGTCTGCTGGCAGAGATTCCCAAGGGGCTTGTATAACAAAGTCTGCATGTATGTCGTCGACACCCCTCTCAGTGACTGTGTTTGCCATATCGAACGTATCGATGGCGTTTATCGCACAATGGGTCCACCTGTTGCTATTGGAGGCTCTTCTGTCCAGAGTTAGTGCTCCAGTGATCAAATCTTTAAGTGAACTGATTCTAGGTCTAGTCAATATCTTGGTCAGCATGCACGCAGCAATCCCCTTTACCCTTATTTCAATCGACGTTAGCTTTGTCTCTAGTCTTAGGTTCAGGATTTTAGTCCATCTGGGAGCACCTGTTATGACTCGCAATGCATCATTTTGAAGAACCTCAACGTTTGCCCACTGACCAGGAGAAAGAGTGAGTAAGGCAGGCGCTGCATAATCAACCAGGGAACGAACGGCGTGTATGTAAAACATTCTCAACACTCTGTGTCCCGCTCCTAGACGGGGCCCTGTGATTGCTCTCATTATATTTATTCGTGACTTTGCTTTCTCCTTTAGATATTGAATTTGCTTATGGAATGTCATTTTAAAATCAATCCACACTCCGAGATATCGATATTGTGTAACCCACTGAAGGTTAATGTCCTGAATGCGTAGGTGCCTGTCTGGAGCCTTGCCACCTAGTCTCATCGCCTTAGACTTCTGTGCAGATATTTTTAGCCCTAAAACACTGCATTCAGATGTCACTTGATCTAAAGCACCTTGAGCTTTATTTAGAAGTGAAGGACCCGTAATGACTAATGCTAGATCATCAGCATAGCTTAGCAATGTAACCCCTTCTGTAAAGGACATGGTAACAAGGTTTTCCATAAGGATGTTAAAAAGACTAGGACTGAGGACTCCTCCTTGTGGAGTCCCATTCTCGTGCAAGTGGTAGTCCGACACTTGTCCTTGCAACTTTACTCTGGCATACCTGTGACTTAGGTAATCTTGAATCCATGCTAGCATTTTCCCCCTCACACCTTTTTTAACTAAGGTGTGTAGTATTGCTGGCGGGCTTGCAAGTTCAAACGCTTTTTCCAGATCAAGGAAGACCACTATAGCTGGACCCGAGTTAACT